AGAGTGGCTCAGCAATTCTTTCCTTCTGTATCAAAACTTGCTTTCATTTCTATTCTTTCTTCAGGCTCCTCATTCAAAAATCTTTCTGCCAAGCATCCGTATCTGTGAGACTCTCTTGTCAAACCCATCCTTCCCAGCCCCGTGTCACCATCCAGCCGGGGCACCCCCGGCCCGTGCCCACTGAAGAGCCCCGCACAGCCACCGGCGCTCCCTGTGCCGTGTGCCACGGCCCCAGCGCAGTGACAGCGCAGTGACAGCGCAGTGACAGCCCTGTGGCAGCGCTGTGCCCCTCTGCGGGCCCAGAGGGGATTTCAGAGATGCAGAGGGGTCAGCAGCGAGCTCTGCCCGCTCCCCGTGCCCGCGGGCTGGCGGGGTCCGCTCCGAGCGGCCGAACAGAGCTCCTCCCGGCCACGGCTGCCCTCGGGCTGTCCCCATTGTCCCCGGGCTGTCCCCGGGCTGTCCCCAGGCTGTCCCCAGGCTGTCCCCGGGGCTGTCCCGAGGCTATCCCCAGGATGTCCCCGCTGTCCCCATTGTCCCCAGGCTATCCCCATTGTCCCCAGGCTATCCCCATTGTCCCCAGGCTGTCCCCGGGGCTGTCCCCAGGCTGTGCCCAGGATGTCCCCATGCTATCCCCAGGATGTCCCCGCTGCCCCCACTATCCCCAGGCTATCCCCACTGTCCCCAGGCTATCCCCACTGTCCCCAGGCTGTCCCCGGGGCTGTCCCCAGGCTGTGCCCAGGATGTCCCCATGCTATCCCCAGGATGTCCCCGCTGTCCCCACTGTCCCCAGGCTATCCCCACTGTCCCCGGGGCTGTCACCACTATCCCCAGGCTATCCCCACTGTCCCCAGGCTGTCCCCGGGGTGTCCCCAGGCTGTTCCCACTGTCCCCGGCCTGTCCCCAGGCTGTCCCCGCTGTTCCCACTGTCCCCAGACTGTCCCCAGGCTGTCCTCGCTATCCCCGGCCTGTCCCCGCTATCCCCGGCCTGTCCCCGGCCTGTCCCCACCGTCCCGTGTCGCGAGGGTCGCAGCCAAGCGCAACGCCCGTCTCTGATTTGCTGTCGCGACGCCCGACTCTGATTGGCTGTTGCAGCGCCCGACTCTGATTGGCTGTTGCAAAGCCCGGCGCTGATTGGCTGTCACGCGGCCCGGAAGCGGAAGCGACGAGGCGGAAGTGGAGAGGCGGCGGTGATGGCGGTGGAGCTGGAGGTGGCGGACGGGCAGTGCCGGCTGCGGCCCTTCTCCTGCGAGCTGGGGCTGCTCTCGCGGCCCGACGGCTCGGCCGCCTTCCTGCAGGGTCTGTGCGGCTCCGCTCCCCGGGGTTCCCTTCCCTTCCCTTCCCTTCCCTTCCCTTCCCGCAGGGTCTGGGAGGCTCTGCTCACGGGGCTCCGCTTCCTTCCTTACTGGGGCTCCTTTTCCCAGCCTTCTCCTTCCCAGCCCATCCCGGCTCCTCTTCCCGGGGCTCCTCATTCCTTCCCAGCCCTTCCCGCAGGGTCTGTAGTGCTGCCCGTCCCAGGCCTCCCCTTCTCTGCCTCGCAGAGCTCCCCTGCCGCACGTCCCGGGGCTCCCCTTCTCGCCTTGCCAAGTCCCGTTCCCACCCTTCCCGCAAGGTCCCGGGGGCTCCCGTTCCCGGCTGCGGCCTCCTCACCGTGAGCTGTGCTCTCTGTGCCCAGGTGACACCTCGGTGCTGGCCGGGCTCTACGGCCCCGCGGAGGCCAAGCTCAGCAAGGAGCTGCCGGACCGGGCGGCGCTGGAGGTGCTGCTGCGCCCCAAGGTGGGGCTGCCAGGTGGGGACCCGCCATCCTTTCCCTTCCCAAAACAGGTTCTTTCCCGCAGAGTCGAGATAATTGGTTGATTTACAGGCCTTTATTTCAGTTTTGCTGGGTGGCAAATCCACAAATCCAGCACAACCAAACCCCTCTGTCAGTGACACGTTTTATCAAGCAAAGGCCCTGGTGCTGTTTGCTGCAGCTTGCCCACTTCTGTGGGCAATTAGCACTCTCCTGCTGCTGGGTAACGAGTGCCTGGCTGCTGTCATGGGTCAGTGCCACGCTGGCTCTGGCTCGCTGTCCCTGGGGCTCCCTGTTCCCAGCCCAGCCGGAGCAGTTTCTCCCTTCTCCTGGCATTGTCCCCCCGGTGCCTCCCTGCCCTGAGCCCTGCCGGCAGCTCCTGTGCTGGCTGCTGAGCCCGGCCCTGCCCCGGGGCTGCCGGGGCCTGCAGCTGCCGTGCCGAGCCCCGAGTGCCCGCGGCTCCCCGGGCATGGGGGGGTTTTGGGCAGCTGACAGGTGTGCCGTTGTGCAGGCGTGCTGGAGCGCAGCCGGGAGCAGCTGCTGCGGCAGACGTGCGAGGCCGTGGTGCTGGGCGCGCTGCACCCGCGCACCGCCATCTCCCTGGTGCTGCAGGTGCTCAGCGACGCTGGCTCTGTATCCTTGCCCGTGTGGGACGGGGCAGGGGGGCTGGGGAGCTGTTGGTGCTGTGGGTCCCTTGACGTCCCCCAGCTGCTGTCCTGCTGCCTGAACGCCGCCTGCATGGCGCTGCTGGATGCGGGGCTGCCCCTCGCCGCCCTCTTCTGCGGAGTCACCTGCGCCCTGCAGCCCGACGGCACCATCCTGCTGGACCCCACGGCCCGACAGGAGCAGGTGAGCCCTGGCTGGGGAGGGCCCTGCTCTGGGTGTGCCCTCCCAGCCCTGCTGACCCCCGTCCCTGCAGGAGGCACGCGCCATCCTCACCTTCGCCATCGCCAGCAGCGACAGGAAGGTGCTGATGGCCACCACCAAGGGCAGCTGCTCTGTGGAGGAGGTGAGGGACTCCCCGGGGGGGGTTTTGGGCTGCGGGGTTCCCTCACAGGGGGTCCCTCACAGCCAGCCCTTCTCCCCGCTCCTGTGCAGATGCAGCAGTGCCTGGCTGCGGCCCAGCGCGCCGCCAGCACCATCTTCCAGTTCTACCGCGACTCCGTGCGCCGCCGCTACTCCAAGTGCTGAGCCGGGGCCGCCCTGCGGGCAGCTGGACTGGCCTGGGCCCCCAGCCCTCAGTAAAGGACCATCTCCCTCCGCTCTGCCTCCTGAGTCCATCCTGTGCCACGGGGTCTCCTGAGGGGGGCACACACGGGGACAGTTCTGGGCATATGTGTCCCAGGACCTGCTGGCCCCTGAGACCCCCGGGGCTGGGACACAGGGACACGGCGTGGGCATGGGCCTGGTGGGACACCCACCATGGCAGCTCTGGGTGCCACACGTGTGTTGGTACACCCAACATGGCAGCTCTGGGGGCCACACGTGTGCTGGTACACGCAACATGGCGGCCCCAGGGCACCACACATGTGCTGGTCCACCCAACATGGCAGCTCTGGGGGCCACACGTGTGCTGGTACACGCAACATGGCGGCCCCAGGGCACCACACATGTGCTGGTCCACCCAACATGGCAGCTCTGGGGGCCACACGTGTGCTGGTACACGCAACATGGCGGCCCCAGGGCACCACACATGTGCTGGTCCACCCAACATGGCAGCTCTGGGGGCCACACGTGTGCTGGTACACGCAACATGGCGGCCCCAGGGCACCACACATGTGCTGGTCCACCCAACATGGCAGCTCTGGGGGCCACACGTGTGCTGGTACACGCAACATGGCGTCCCCAGGGCACCACACATGTGCTGGTACACCCAACATGGCAGCTCTGGGGTGCCACACCTGTGCTGGTACACCCAACATGGCAGTTCTGGGGTGCCACACATGTGTTGGTACACCCAACATGGCAGCTCTGGGTGCCACACGTGCGCTGGTACACCCAACATGGCAGCCCCAGGGTGCCACTGCTCTGCTGAGACACCCAACATGGCAGCTCTGGGTGCCACACGTGTGCTTGTACACCCAACATGGCAGCCCCAGAGTGCCGCACCTGTGCTGGTACACCTACCATGGCAGCCCCAGGGTGCCACGTGTGTGCTGGTACACCCAACATGGCAGCTGTGGGTGCCGCACGTGTGCTGGTGCACCCAACATGGCAGCTCTGGGTGCCACACGTGTGCTGGTACACTCAACATGGAGGTGCCACCACATGTTCCCGGTACACCCAACATGGCGGTGCCCCCACACATTCCCGGTACGCCCAAGATGGCGGCGCAGCTGGCGAAATGGCGCTGATGCCCCGCTGTGACCTTCCGAGCATGGCGGCGCCACCGCGACTCCATGTTTTCCTGTGTGCTGGTACACCCAACATGGCAGCTCTGGGGTGCCACACCTGTGCTGGTACACCCAACATGGCAGCCCCAGGGTGCCACACCTGTGCTGAGACACCCAACATCGCAGCTCTGGGTGCCACACGTGTGCTGGTACACCCAACATGGCAGCGCTGGGTGCCACACGTGTGCTTGTACACCCAACATGGCAGCTCTGGGGTGCCACACCTGTGCTGGTACACCCAACATGGCAGCCCCAGGGTGCCACACCTGTGCTGAGACACCCAAAGTAGCAGCTCTGGGTGCCACACATGTGCTGGTACACCCAACATGGCAGCCCGGGGGTGCCACACCTGTGCTGAGACACCCAAAGTGGCAGCTCTGGGTGCCACACGTGTGCTGGTACACGCAACATGGCGTCCCCAGGGCACCACACATGTGCTGGTACACCCAACGTGGCAGCTCTGGGAGCCACACCTGTGCTGGTACACCCAACATGGCAGGTCTGGGAGCCACACCTGTGCTGGTACACCCAACATGGCAGCTCTGGGAGCCACACCTGTGCTGGTACACCCAACATGGCAGCTCTGGGTGCCACACGTGTGCTTGTACACCCAACATGGCAGCCCCAGAGTGCCGCACCTGTGCTGGTACACCTACCATGGCAGCCCCAGGGTGCCACGTGTGTGCTGGTACACTCAACATGGTGGCCCCAGGGTGCCACACGTGTGCTGGTACACTCAACATGGAGGTGCCACCACATGTTCCCGGTACACCCAACATGGCGGTGCCCCCACACATTCCCGGTACGCCCAAGATGGCGGCGCAGCTGGCGAAATGGCGCTGATGCCCCGCTGTGACCTTCCGAGCATGGCGGCGCCACCGCGACTCCATGTTTTCCTGGGCGGGGCTTGTGTCGCCGGGACCAATAGGGAGGCGGTGTTGGGCGGGACCACGTGGTGCGCGGGGCGGTGCTGGCGCGTCCAGCCGCGCATGCGCGGTGGTTGAGGGCGGGGGAGGATCGGTGGGGGGGCAATAACGGGGGGCACTGGGGTGAAGGGGGCAATAACGGGGGTCAGTGCGGGTGTGGCGGGCAGTAACGGGGTCGGTGGCAGCGAGGGTCGGTCCCTGGGGAGCAGCAGCGGGGGTGCGGGCCGGGACAGCGGGGTTCGGTGGGCTCTGTGCTCCTCACGGGAGCACCGCGGCAGCTCCGGGATGGGAACGGGCCGTGCTGGAGGCGCCGGCCCCGCCAGTAAACATTGCTGTGAACACCCACGGAACCGCGCCTGCCCCACGGAAACAACTCACGGCGTTGAGGGCCGGGGGTTCGGTGAGGGCCGGGGGCTCGGTGAGGGCCGGGGGCGCGGCGGGGCCCGGACACCGAGCTCTGCCGCTCACCCACCCCCTGTCCGCAGGCCCCGCGGAGCCGCCGAGGGCCGCGGCCCGCTTGGGTTCGCGGACCGGCAGCTGGGGGAGGGCGGCGTCCACGAGAGCGACAAGATCCTCATGGAGAAGGTGTGAGGGAGCGGGGGGACAGCCGGCAGTGCGCGGGGCTGGCGCGGCGGTGCTCTGTGTCCCCACAGCCCCGGCGCCTCCGCAGGAGCGGTCCTGCCCGCCGCGGTGGTCGCTGGCCCGGGTTCCCCGCACTCCCTCCACCGAGGGCAGCCCCTGGCTCGGTTACCCCGGGTCCCCAGGGGTGCTGCCTGTCCCAGATACGCGGGTGCCCGCACCCCTGGGAGTTGGGGGGGCTGGTCCCTGTTTTAGGCCACCCGCGGGTCCCCCACACCCTGGCTCCCCGTGGGAGTGGTCCTTGCCCTGCGTCCCCCTCCCCAGCCGGCCGTGCGGGTCCCCCCAGCCCTGGGCACGCGTGACGGGTGGTCTCTGCCCTGGGATCCCCCAGATGCTGGGTCCCCATACCCACCTTAGCCCCCCAATTGCCAGGTCTCCATACCTGCCCTGGGATCCCCCCAATGCCGTGTCCCCATACCCACCCTGCCCCCCCAAATGCCGTTTCCCCATACCCATTCTGGGTCCCCCCAGTGCCATGTCCCCATAACCCCGGCCCCCCTGTCGTTGCAGCGCTGCTGGGACGTGGCTCTGGCGCCGCTGAAGCAGATCCCCATGAACCTGTTCATCATGTACATGGCTGGCAACACCATCTCCATCTTCCCGGCCATGATGGTCTGCATGATGGGCTGGCGCCCGCTGCAGGCCCTCATGTCCCTGTCTGCCAGTGACTGGGTGCCACACGTGGGGACAGCCCCAGAGGGACAGCCCCCTGTGTGTCCTGCTGTCCCTTGGGGGTCCCTCAGCCCCCTGGCTGTTCCTAGGCCCTCATGTCCCTGTCTGCCAGTGAGTGCAGCCCCCACGTGGGGACAGCCCCAGAGGGACAGCCCCCTGTGTGTCCTGCTGTCCCTTGGGGGTCCCTCAGCCCCCTGAGTGTCCCCACAGCCCCCTGGGTTTCCCTTCAGCCCCTATGGTGTCCTTCAGCCCCCTGGATGTCCCCACAGCCCCTATGATGTTTCCACAGCCCACTGGGTGTCCTTCAGCTCCATCTTCCCGGCCATGATGGTCTGCATGATGGGCTGGCGCCCGCTGCAGGCCCTCATGTCCCTGTCTGCCAGTGAGTGCAGCCCCCACGTGGGGACAGCCCCCTGTGTGTCCTGCTGTCCCTTGGGGGTCCCTCAGCCCCCTGGCTGTTCCTCAGCCCCTATGGTGTCCCCACAGCCCCCATGGTGTCCCCTAGTCCTCTGGATGTCCCCACAGCCCCTATGATGTTTCCACAGCCCACTGGGTGTCCTTCAGTCCCCTGGGTGTCCCTGCAGTCCCCTGGGTGTCCTGCTATCCCTTGGGGGTTCCTCACCCCCTGGGTGTTCCTCAGCCCCCATGGTGTCCCCACAGCCCCCATGGTGTCCCTTAGTCCCCTGGCTGTCCCCACAGCCCCATGGATGTCCCACAGCCTCCAGATGTCCTGCTGTTCCCTGGGTGTCCCCACAGACCTCTGGGTGTCCCACAGCCCCCTGGGTATCCCCTCAGCCCCCTGGATGTCCCCACAGCCCCTATGGTGTCCCCACAGCCCCCATGGTGTCCCCTAGTCCTCTGGATGTCCCCACAGCCCCATGGATGTCCCACAGCCCCCAGATGTCCTGCTGTTCCCTGGGTGTCCCTCAGCCCTCTGAGTGTCCCCACAGACCTCTGGATGTCCCACAGCCCCCAGATGTCCTGCTGTTCCCTGGGTGTCCCCACAGCCCCCACGCTGTCCCACAGCCCCCACCTGTCCCCACAGTCCCCATGGTGTCCCCACACTCCCCTGGATGTCTCCACAGCCCACTGGGTGTCCTTCAGTCAGTCCCCTGGGTGTCCCCGCAGCCCCCTGGGTGTCCCCACAGACCTCTGGATGTCCCACAGCCCCCTGGGTTTCCCTTCAGCCCCTATGGTGTCCTTCAGCCCCCTGGATGTCCCCACAGCCCCTATGATGTTTCCACAGCCCACTGGGTGTCCTTCAGTCCCCTGGGTGTCCCTGCAGTCCCCTGGGTGTCCTGCTGTCCCTTGGGGGTTCCTCACCCCCTGGCTGTTCCTCAGCCCCCATGGTATCCCCACAGCCCCCATGGTGTCCCCCAGCCCCTTGGGTGTCCCCACAGCCCCCACGCTGTCCCACAGCCCCCACCTGTCCCCACAGTCCCCATGGTGTCCCCACACTCCCCTGGATGTCTCCACAGCCCACTGGGTGTCCTTCAGTCCCCTGGGTGTCCCTGCAGCCCCCTGGGTGTCCCCCACAGCCCCCCGAGTGTTCCACAGCCCCATGGACGGCCTGGTGTCTCCAGAGCTCCACAGTCATTTCCACATCATTCCCCTCTGCCCAGCACTCCCCCCGTGATGCTGCCCACCCCCAAGAGCCCTGTGCCAGCTGAGGGCTTGGGGGGTCACTGACAGGCACCCCGATCCCCTTTGTCCCCCCAGCACTGAAGGCCCTGGAGAGCTCCAGCCGGCGGGCCCTGCAGGGTCTGGTGTTCCTGGTGGGCAACGGGCTGGGGCTGGCACTGGCCCTCTACAAGTGCCAGGCCATGGGGCTGCTGCCCACCCGCCCTTCCGACTGGCTGGCCTTTGTCACGCCCCCACAGGTGAGCCCGGGGCCTTGGGGACACCCCGCAGGGACAGGGGCCCTGGGTCAGACACTGTGCAGGGTCAGGGGTCACCCTGCAGGGTCACCAGAGGGTCAGGGGTCACCCTGCAGAGTCCGGGGTCCTGGGGTCACCTCACTGAGTCAGGGGTCCTGGGTCAGACACCCCACAGGGTCAGGGGTCACCCTGCAGGGTCCGGGGTCCTGGGGTCACCCTGCAGGGTCAGGAGCCCTGGGTCAGACATCCTGCAGAGTCAGGGGTCCTGGGGTCACCCCACCAAGTCAGGGGTCACCCTGCACAGTGAGGGGTCCTGGGTCACATCCTGCAGAGTCAGGGGTCCTGGGGTCACCTCACTGAGTCAGGGGTCCTGGGTCAGACACCCCACAGGGTCAGGGGCCCTGGGGACATCCTGCAGGGTCAGGGGTCACACTGCAGAATCAGGGGTCACCCTACAGAGTCCAGGGTCCTGGGTCAGACACCCCCCAGTGTCAGGGGTCCTGGGGTCACCTCACTGAGTCAGGGGTCCTGGGTCAGACACCCCACAGGGTCAGGGGCCCTGGGGACATCCTGCAGGGTCAGGGGTCACCCTACAGAGTCCGGGGTCCTGGGTCAGACACCCCCCAGTGTCAGGGGTCCTGGGGTCACCCTGCAGAGTCAGGGGTCCTGGGGTCACCCCACCGAGTCAGGGGTCCTGGGTCAGACACCCCACAGGGTCCTGGGGTCACCCTGCAGAGTCCGGAGTCCTGGGGTCACCCTGCACAGTGAGGGGTCCTGGGTCAGACACCCCCCAGTGTCAGGGGTCCTGGGGTCACCCTGCAGAGTCAGGGGTCCTGGGGTCACCCCACCGAGTCAGGGGTCCTGGGTCAGACACCCCACAGGGTCAGGGGCCTTGGGGACACCCTGCAGGGTCAGGGGTCCTGGGTCAGACACCCGGGCCCCCCGCTCACCCCTTCCTCTCTCCCGTCTCTTGGCAGCGAATGGAATTCACTGGGGGGGGCCTGATCTTGTGACCCCCTGCGCCACCCACCAATAAAGGCAATGGCAGGATGGTGACATCGCTTCTGGGGGAATTCCGAGGGTTTGGGCGTTGCAGTTCATTTTGGGGGGGCAGCCCCCCAAGCTGTGTGCTCGCTGGCAGCAGCGGGCAGGCGAGGAGGCTCCACACGGCTCCTGAGGGTGCTGATTGATGGGGGTTCATTGGGGTCCCATCCCCGGGAACAGCATGGTTAGTGAGGGAAAAGGGGAGAGAGGGAGAGCCTGGGGAGGGAAGGGGCAAGATGGGGGGAAGGCTAAGAGGGGGACTGGTCTCCCTAGCACAGCTTAAGAGGGAGATTGAAGTGAGCACAGAGTCAGATTTGTGCCAGTGGGATTACAGGTACATGGGGGTTCAGGGCAGGACCACAGGCTCGGCATGTACCATACATTTTGGAGGGGTGAGACAGGGCATACCATTTAAATAAAGTGCAATACTGCACCTGGGGAGTCAGCCCAAGGCAGCACTGGGTTTGGGTGAACTAAAAAATGTTTATTGGGCTGTACTGGGACCACTGGGAGCACACTGAAGTTTGTACCAGGAGTGCCCTTGGAACCTGCAGTGGGAGCACTGGGAGCTTTGGGGCCTGTGCTGGGGCCAGCACTGGAGGGACTGAGCCCCAGGAGCCATACTGGGAGCCATACTGGGAACACTGGGAATATACCTGTGGCCCGCATGGGGTCAGCTGCAGCCTGAGGCTGCTCTGTACTGGAAGCACTGGGTTCATACTGGGAGCACTGGGGATTATTCCAGGGTCTGGATTTGACTGCAGGTCGTGCTGGTGTGTACTGAGAGCACTGGGGCCATACTGGGATCCTGTCTGAAGAGCTGTGGCTCGCTGGCATGGTGCTGGGAGTGCTGGTGGTATGTTGGAGGCACTGGGCACATACTGGGACTGTGGCAGCCATACTGGGACTGTGGCAGAAGACCCGTGGTGCAGGCCAGTATTGTACTGGGAGCACTGGGCCTGCACTGGGATGGTGCTGGGTGTGCCCACACTGCTGGTTGCTGCCACATTTCACCATTTCACTGTGGTAGTTTCTCCATTTTGACTGTTTTTCTCACCACTTCTTGCACATATGTGCCCCGTTTTTGCCTTTTTCCCTTATTTCATACTTTTTCCCCCCACTTTTGCAGTAATTTCTTCCACTGTTGCTCCCAGTTGAGCCCAAACCTCTATTTTCCAGTATGGACCAGTGCCTCCCAGTATAGCCTTGTGCCCTCTCCAGGACTTTGAGTGTGATCCAGGACTCCAGGATGACGTTTTCATGGCCCAGAGCCCAATCCCAGTATATCCCACCAGCTCCCAGTGCCTTCCCACACCACCCAGTGTTCCCAGTGCCACCACAGCTGTACTGGGGGCAGGGATACAGCAGGGCCTGCACTCAGCGAGGACAGGATGGTGTCACCTGTCACTCAGCTGACCTGGCTGTGGCATGTCCCGCAGTGTCAGCAGGCACGGTGACCCCAGCCCAGCATTTCCTGATGGTCACACCTCCCACAGCCTCATCCAGCTTGGAAAATGCACCCCAGTCCACCCAGTCCCAGCTGTGCCCCATCCCCACCCTGTCCCCAGCCCAGGGCTCTGGGTGCCACCTCCAGGGATGGGCACTCCAGACCCCCCTGGGCAGTGCCAAGGCAGTTCCGGAGCCCCCTTTCCATGGGGAAATTCCTGCTGTGCCCACCCTGAGCTGCCCTGGCCCAGCCTGAGGCCGTTCCGTCTCCTCCAGTCCCCTCGTGTTAGAAATGAAATCAATCAGTGGAAATAAACCTCTCCAGCAGCAGTGCAGCCCTGAGCAGCAGGCACTCCTCCTCTCCAGTATTGTGTGTGCATGCTGAGCACAGCAAAGCTCCTGCTCCACGCTGCAGTGTACAGCAGTGCTCACAGGTTCTCCCAGGACAAACACGTGTGTGGTGACCATTTATTTCCCTGAAGTCATTAACACATTCCCTGTCCTGGGGGTGTCTTTGCTGGCCCCTCGTGGTCAGTGACCCCCCAGTGTGACCACTGTGTGAACTGGTGCCCAGTTAGGAGAAAGGCTGGCAGAGCTGGCCTAGCTCATTAATTTGTGAGGCTTGGAATCAGTGGAGTGTAGTTTCTGATTCCTTTCCGTGGTTAATGTTTATTGTACTTCTGATTGTGCACTTGCACAGTCCAACGACTTTGCTAAATGATCATTGTATTCACCCACCAGGTGCAACCCATTCTTCATCTGGCAGCATTGTCAGGGAGTTGTTGTTAGGCAGAGCCACAAGGGCCCCCCTGAGCCTCCTTTTCTCCAGGCTCAGCCCTTCCCAGCTCCCTCAGCCTCTCCTGGGGCTCCGCTCCCTGGACACGCTGCAGCCCCTGCCTGAGCTGAGGGGCAGCTGGGGATGGAGCCCCAGCAGTGCCAGCACAGGCACAGCCCAGGAGCCCTGGCCCTTCCTGGCCACCTGGAATCACATCCACCAGCCGCTGCTCCGGCGTTCCCTGTCCTTCCAGCCGTGCTTCCCAGGGCACACTGCACACCAGTGGCAGTGGGAGGGTCTCCTTCCCCCCCCGTCTGCCCCGTTCCCTGAGGTCTGGCTGCTGCCACTGCAGCTCAGACACCACTGCTCATCCCCGCAGGACAGCAGGGACACAGCGGTGTGACAGTCCTGGCAGTGACAGTGACAGCCTGCCCCGTCAGCAGAACCAGCGGCCTGTAAGGCAAGGAGACACCAGCGTGGGCTCCACAAGACACAGAAAGTGGGAAGAGCTCGTGAGGAGACACCTGGCTAGTGCTGGACATGCACGGAGGGCTTCCCTGCTGGCAGGTGCCCAGAACTGGGATGGCTGGATCATTTGTGGGAACACCCAGGCACAGAAACAGCTGCCTGGGGATCCCGTGTGGATCCCGGGATCCCGTGTGGATCCTCTGCTGGACCTGGGGACACCTGTGTGTTGTTTTCCATCCCTTCCCCAAGGCCAGCCTAACACCACAGCCACTGCCCCTGCTGTCAGGACTGTCCCCAGCTCCAGGGCCTGGCATGGGCATCCCTGGGCCAGAGCAGACGGAAAATCCCCTCCTGTGCTCCTCCCTGCAGCCAGCAGGTCAGCCGAGCTCAGGAATGGCCCGGATTTCATTTCCCAGGGGAAGGCAGCGCCACGTGCAGATGGATAACTTCCCTGGGCGCAGCAGGCAGGGAGTCTCCAAGGAACCTGGTTCTGCTGCCAGTTCCCAAACCCCAGCTGCACTCCCAGAGCCCCCAGCCCAGGGGCTGAGCCCCCAGCCCGTGAGCCAAGGGCAGATCCGGGCGCTTCCCACCGCAGGGAGGCACCGACTGCCCTGCCCCACCCCGCTCGGCCTCCCTGCCCGGTACCAGCGACACAAACACAGCACGAGCAGGGCCGCGGCACAGCCGCTCTCCCGTTTATTGCCGCCGCGAGCTGCGCGGGCCGGGCCTTTCTTCACAGCACAGGCAGCGCTCCGGCGGGGCCGCGCCCAGGCGACACGGGCAGCAGCTGCAGGCCATCCCGCCGGCCCCCAGGGCTCATATGCTGTCCAGCTTCTTCAGGATGAACGGAGCTGAGGGGAAAACAACGCTCAGACACCGCCCCGCGGGGGCCGGGATATCCCGGCACGGCACCGAGACCGGGCTCGTCCCGGCAGCGCGGGGACGGGATATCCCGGCACGGCACAGGCTGGGAGCACGGGCCGGGATATCCCCGCACAGGCTGGGAGCTCAGGGTCGGGATATCCCGGCACAGGCTGGGAGCACACAGCCGGGATATCCCGGCACAGCCTGGGAGCACAGAGCCGGGATATCCCGGCTCGGCACAGCCTGGGAGCACAGAGCCGGGATATCCCGGTACAGCCTGGGAGCACAGGGCCGGGATATCCCGGCACAGGCTGGGAGCACAGAGCCGGGATATCCCGGCACAGGCTGGGAGCACAGAGCCGGGATATCCCGGCACGGCACAGCCTGGGAGCACAGAGCCGGGATATCCCGGCACAGCCTGGGAGCACAGAGCCGGGATATCCCGGCACAGCCTGGGAGCACAGAGCCGGGATATCCCGGCTCGGCACAGCCTGGGAGCACGGGCCGGGATATCCCGGTACAGCCTGGGAGCACAGAGCCGGGATATCCCGGCACAGGCTGGGAGCACAGAGCCGGGATATCCCGGCACAGCCTGGGAGCGCAGAGCCGGGATATCCCCGCACGGCGGCCCGGCCCTCGCCGGCGCCGCCACACCCGCTCACTCACTGATCCGCAGCAGTGCGACGTAGATGAGGAAGTTGCGGACGGAGGCCAGCACGTCGCGGCGCATCTTCCGCCGCAGCTCCTCCGGGTCCATCTTGGGCCCCAGCCCCTCGATGCGGAACATCCCGGAGCGGAGCTCGTTCCCGGCCTCGGCCCCGATCCCGACCCGGCCCCGGCGGCGCGTCCGGTCACGTGGTTCCGCCGTGAGGCCGGCGGCCGCATGCGCACGGAGCGCGGAGGCGCCGCCGGCGCGCGGAGACGGCGTCACTTCCGGTCGGGAGCCTCTGGCCCTGTCTCTGGCTCGCTGTCCCTGTGTCCCTGTTCCCAGCCCAGCCGGAGCTGTCCGGAGCAGTTTCTCCCTTCTCCTGCCATTGTCCCCCCGGTGCCGCCCTGCCCTGAGCCCTGCCGGCAGGGCAGCTGTGCTGGCTGCTGAGCCCGGCCCTGCCCCGGGGCTGCCGGGGCCTGCAGCTGCCGTGCCGAGCCCCGAGTGCCCGCGGCTCCCCGGGCAGAGATCGCCCTTTCCTGTGACAGCCTCCAGCTGCCAGCACTCGGCACAAGGAACGCTGCCCGAGGTGCACGAAGGCTCCAGGCCTGCCCCAGCTGAGCAGGCAGAGCCCTGTGGCTCCCCTCAGCATCCCCACAGAATGCCCGGGCTCTGCAGTGTTAGGTGTTATGAATAAAAATATACCTATTTTTATTTAAGGTTACAGAGAAAAAAAAAAAAAAAACGGTGGGACCAGTTGCTGTTAAATTAGCTTAATTGTAAAGAGACTGAAAAGCAGGAATCTGCGAATCTCTCATGAGGATGGCATCCCCAGATCTGCCTGCAGACCAGCGGACAGAGCTGCATCATCATCATCATCATCATCACCCTCATCATCACCCTCCGTGCCACTCCTGGGGACAGCAGCGGCGTGGGTGCGACCCGTCGGTTTCTCCCCACCTGAGCTGAATCTCTTTAACAAAGGCATTGAAAAGGAGAAAGATCTCCTGCCCTATTTATGTCATTAGGTACTTGGAAAAAGGCATTTCTCTGCGCTTGGCTGCCCGTGGCCCGAGGCCAAGGCGATTACAGAGCAGCTGCTCCCGCTGTGCCGTGCTAATTGAGCCTGCCAGGTGGCTGAGGAGCTGCGCTCCCAAAGCACAGCCAGCAGTGACGGGAGGTGAGCACTGCTCCCAAAGCAGCTCCCGGAGCTGCCCAGCAGCCACAGGGTTGGATCCCAGTGCTGCTGCCAGCCAGGGGAGATGTGGCCCTGCCCTCCCCGGAGCTTTCCAGCAGAAGTCCCGAGGGAAAGCGCGGCACAGCTGCCCAGACCCCCCCCGCTGACACACGCCAGCTCCAGGACAGCTCATTGTTTGCTCTGACTGGTGGCTCTCTGCAGTCTCTGCCAGCAGGAACAGGCTGGCATGTCCCGAGCCCGTTGGGGCAGAGCACCGTGCACTTTGTGCCTGCTGTTCCCCTAGTCTCGCTGGCTGCTGGAGCAGTGTGAGAGGGGCTGTTTTCCCGAGGAATGATGGAGGAATGTGAGCAATTCGGGGCAGAGCCGATGGAACACGACACAGGACTGAGCAGAGGCTGGAGCAAGGAGGGCACAGGAGTGCTGCTAAGTGACATAAATAGGGCAGGAGATCTCTCTCCTTTTCAATGCCTTTATTAAAGAGATTCAGCTCAGGTGGGGAGAAACCGACGGGTCGCGCCCACGCCGTCGCTGTCCCCAAGAGTGGCACGGAGGAGGAGGGTGATGATGAGGGTGATGATGATGATGGTGATGATGCAGCTCTGTCCGCTGGTCTGCAGGCAGAGCTGGGCACTGCGTCCTCACGGGAGATTCGCAGATTCCTGCTTTTCAGTCCAACACTTCGGGTCCCCTCCTTAGTGAACATCCTTAGGTCAGGGTGAGAAGCAAAAAGGATCCAAGCAGGCACTGGACTTCCACCCATCCTCAGACATCACCTAGGGTCCCTAATTCTATATTGGTTCGTTGTTTTTAGGGGTTTTCCTGGAAAACGGGAAGATTTTGGAGCAGTGCATTTCTCATCTGCATACGAGGTCCCAGGCCACTCCTATTCTCCTGGGCTGCGTGTCCAGGTGTAGCTCCGGGGCAAGCACTGGGAGGACAATGGCTAAATCACCAACCATTTAAAGAACTCTTTAACAATTAAGCTAATTTAACAGCAACTGGTCCCACCGTTTTTTTTTTTTTCTCTGTAACCTTAAATAAAAATAGGTATATTTTTATTCATAACACTTGGGATGTTTGTGGCAACTTTCCAGCATTCCCTCGAACTCCGAACCCCAAAGCTGGCACAGTTCATCCCACAGCTACCCCCATAATTACAGGGGAATTTCGCCTTGCACTCCCTGGAGCTTGTCAGAAACACTGAATTAGACACAGATCTTAAAAAAACCCCCACATGATTGTGATGCCTCAGGGTTTAGCTTTTATATCTTTCACATTCTGTGCTGCTCTAGTGTGTGGGTCTGGGCTTCACATCAGGGCATGGTGAGCTCTGTGCACAGAGCAGGGAGACAAAACAATTCCTGCTCCAGCTGGGCACCAAGGACAAATGATCCAAATCTCAGCCCAGGAGCACAAACCCCGTGGGCTGCAGAGAGAAAAACAAGCAGGATGGGACTTCAAAACCTCAAGCTAAAATTAGACAATTAACTCCAATGTGCAATTGGAGCAGAATTGATAAAAGTGAGAGACCCCGTGACCCGTTGTGCATCTTGTGATCATTTGGGATTAATCTTGGGTTCATTTTGTGCCATTTTGGTTCACCTTGGGTTCATTTTGTGCCCAGTTTGGTTCACCTTGGGTTCATTTTGTGCCCAGTTTGGTTCACCTTGGGTTAATTTTGTGGCCATTTTGGTTCACCTTGGGTTCATTTTGTGCCATTTTGGTTCACCTTGGGTTCATTTTGTGCCATTTTGGTTCACCTTGGGTTCATTTTGTGCCCAGTTTGGTTCACCTTGGGTTCATTTTGTGCCCAGTTTGGTTCACCTTGGGTTCATTTTGTGCCATTTTGGTTCACCTTGGGTTCATTTTGTGCCATTTTAGTTCATCTTGGGTTCCTTTTGTGCCATTTTGGTTCACCTTGGGTTCATTTTGTGGCCATTTTGGTTCACCTTGGGTTCATTTTGTGCCATTTTGGTTCACCTTGGGTTCCTTTTGTGCCATTTTGGTTCACCTTGGGTCCATTTTGTGCCATTTTGGTTCACCTTGGGTTCATTTTGTGGCCATTTTGGTTCACATTGGGTTAATTTTGTGCCATTTTGGTTCATCTTGGGTTATTTGTGCCATCTTGGTTCATCTTGGGTTCATTTTGTGCCATTTTAGTTCATCTTGGGTTCATTTTGTGCCATTTTGGTTCACCTTGGGTTCATTTTGTGCCATTTTGGTTCACCTTGGGTTCATTTTGTGCCATTTTAGTGCCATTTTGGTTCACCTTGGGTTCATTTTGTGCCATTTTGGTTCATCTTGGGTTCATTTTGTGCCATTTTGGTTCACCTTGGGTTCATTTTGTGGCCATTTTGGTTCACATTGGGTTAATTTTGTGCCATTTTGGTTCATCTTGGGTTATTTGTGCCATCTTGGTTCATCTTGGGTTCATTTTGTGCCATTTTGGTTCACCTTGGGTTCATTTTGTGCCATTTTGGTTCACCTTGGGTTCATTTTGTGCCATTTTGGTTCACCTTGGGTTCATTTTGTGCCATTTTGATTCACCTTGGGTTATCAAATCCCAAACAGCAGTGGAGTATTAAGAACCTGCCATTCTTTATTTGGTTAGATGCACAAGGGGACAACTCCTCTGGAATATTGTGCAGCACAGAGAGGGCTCCTGTTTAGATTATATATTTCACAGACATACTCATTTATTTTCCTGGAATAAGCACACATAGGATAGTCATTTCCCCAAAATCATTAACTCCCTTCCCTTCCCTTCCCTTCCCTTCCCTTCCCTTCCCTTCCCTTCCCTTCCCTTCCCTTCCCTTCCCTTCCCTTCCCTTCCCTTCCCTTCCCTTCCCTTCCCTTCCCTTCCCTTCCCTTCCCTTCCCTTCCCTTCCCTTCCCTTCCCTGTGGAAGCACATTGCCAGGGGCACACAGAATGTGGATTTCCATTGGTTTGCAGACCAGCCTTGCAGGGTCACTCCAACACCAGCCTGTCCCAGCAGTCAAGGAGTGTCTTGGCTATGGGGGACAGGCACAGTCGGGCTGTCTCCTCACCCCAAGGGCAAAACCAGCAGCTTTGGTTCTGGCTTCTTCTTGCCATTGCTGTGGGTAATCTTGCTGGAAAACTGTGGGATCCAGGTGGAAACAAGCTGCAGCAGCCAAGGCATGGAGCCTGCAGGTGACAGTGGCAGGGCTGCATGCTGGCTGGGATGCAGAGGGCAGGGGATGGCTGGGCAGAGCTGCAGAGCCCAGACACTCCAGTTTCAGCTGAAACTCAGGCTTCTCTCCCCACGGGGTTCCCCTGCTCCCATGAAGTCCTGGCACTATGGTAGCACACAGCTGGTGCAGACAGCAGGAAGGAAACAGCCCACAGAAATTAAAACTGCCCTGATAATTCTTTTTGAGACCTCAGTCGGGTTTCTAGGAGCAAGGAACTCACCAGGGTGGACCGATTGTCCTCGATAAAAACCTTCTGCAGAGTGGCCTTCAGGTGCTGTCCAGTGGTGTTTCTCCACTCCTGCATTGTGGGGATGGCTCACGGGACAGCTGGAAGGACAGCATGCCTATCTCCTGGAAAAGGCAGTGTGGCCTGGCCCCTTTGCATCCACTGGGGAGATGTGGAGGGCCCTCCTCTCCTCAGACTGGACCACAGCTGTGTCAGAGAGGCAGAACAGAGGCTTCCCATGGCTGGGCAGCCTGGCAGCAGCCCCACGGAGGGGCGAGGCAGGTGGTGCTGGAGCCTTGGTGCTGCTGCCACGGCACCTGAGGAATCCATACTGGTACAGCGCTGCTGGCAGCAGCTGGCTCTGTGCCACCCAGAGCCTTCCTGCCTGTGTGCCACCGTGCCACACTGGGGCACAGGTGGCTCCTGCCAGCCCACAGGTGCTTCCTGGCTTCCCAGTGTGGGATCTCAGCACATCACTGTGGATGTGCAGAGACACCAGGGGAGCCACTGGGGGGCTCCCAAACCCTGGAATGATGCCAAAAGGGTTTGGTGGTTGGATTTCGATCCATCAAAAGGAGAA